GAACGACTAATTCATGTTTTCTAATTATTTTAGATTAGATTTGATGAAACCTAAAACATTGTGATTGAACATAATTAGTGCTTTCAGGTGATAGGTGCGGATGGGCAAATCGTATCTGAGAAAACTACGCCCGGCTACGCGTGTCCCGAGTGTGGGTCATGTTTTAACACTAAGGTTTGTGAGATTTGAATAATTTTACCGAAGTGACAGTTTTTGATTCGCGTCAGTAAACTGACAGATGAACTGTGCTGAGTGTCAGTTCAAATGTTATTTTACTGACAGATTGAAAACTATGGCTTTGAGCACATATGGGTTTATGGGGCTTTTAAAACGGTCATTTTTATCGCAAAATCTGGGGCTTTAGAAACGATTAATTAGTTTTTTAGCAATTCAAGTAAATACAAACATTTTGTTTGTTAGTTTTTTAATGCATTGGTGGTAGCTTATAGATTATATTTAGTTAGTGTTAGTCAAGTAAGTATACACTAAAGTTTATTTGCTCTATAGATATTAAGCGGAGTTTATTTGCTCTTGTACATAATAAAGATTTCTTGCACTTTAGTCCACAGTACATTAGACTACAATTTTTTGTTGAAACATTGCGTCTTTTTAATTATAAAACACAGTAACCAGTGGAATGTTTGATCATTTTGACGCAGGAACCGTTGTAATCACGCTCGTTCCCTCCAGGTGCCGCTGTCGTCGCGTGTAAATAAGCATTTTTTAACTCTTAGTGAAAACGAGCGTGATTGCAATAGTGTAATCACGCTCGTTTTCACTAGGAGGCGTCATAGTTGCGCGTATATTATGATCATTTTGACGTTATCGCCGTTGTAATCGCGCTCGTAATATTCAGGGGGCGTAGTGTGAGTACTTCAAACCCATTCGATGTCGACTGCGTAAAAAAGTGACATTAAATGTATGACGGATTGTACAGCGCCCCTAGCGGAAACTTTCAAGAACTAAAACCTTCATACATTTTTTAACGCAGTCGATATCGAATGCGTTTGACGTAAACTCGCACTACGCAGCAATGAGCATTGTTGTAATCGCGCTCGTTGTGTCCAAGATGCGCTGTCAGTGCATGCTGTAAATGAATGACTATTTATTTAGACACTAGCTTTCCGCCCGCGGCTTCGCCCGCGTGGAATTTTGTCTGTCACAGAAAAACTTTATCGCACGCGTCCCTGTTTCAAAAACCGGGATAAAAACTATCCTATGTTCTTTCCCGGGACTCAAACTATCTCTATGCCAAATTTCATCAAAATCGGTTGCGAGGTTTAAGCGGGAAAGCGTAACAGACAGACAGACAGACAGAGTTACTTTCGCATTTATAATATTAGTTGGGATTAGTTGGGATGAGCACTGTTGTAATCACGATCGTTCCATCCAGGAAGCGCTATCGCTTCACGTTTACTATTAAAGCCCGGTCTGTGAGCACGTAGAATTTTGTCCAATGACCCCAAGCTACCCATCCTTATCGCTCGCGCATAATTATATTGCGGTCGCGACTGTGCCGCGGGTGCCCGCAGTGAGTGTGCGAGCGCGACAGCAACATAATTACGCGCGAGCGATAAGGATGGGTAGCTTGGGGTCATTGGACAAAGTTCTACGTGCTCGCAGACCAGACTATAGGTACCATTGTAATCACGATCGTTCCACCCAGGAGGCGCTCTCGCTTCACGTGCGCTTGCACGCGGGCGACCGCACGTGCGTGACGGACCTGTGCGCGCTGACGGCCGCGCTTCAGCCCGGACTGGTCGCCGCGGCGCAGCAGGCTACGCAGAGTAAGCATTCATCACTGAATAGTATATTTTAATCATCATTTCCACTACGGACCGGAAGACGCTGTGAGTAACTCGGTGGACTCACGATCTAGTGAAGGTCGCGGGAAGCATGGCTAGAATTTATACTCCGACAAAGGCGTATTCAGCGGTTCCCAAACTTATTTTGTCTACTGCCCACTTTGAGATCAAATTCTTTTTTAGCGCCCCCATTTTTGTAGTCAAGAGTCGAGCTCAGTCGGTGTCTAAGAGTCCTCCTAGTAGATGACGCTTCCCAAGCCTCAACACAATGCCCCGATTTTTTCCGGGGTCTCTTACCGCCCCCCTTTAAGCCTGCAGCGCCCACAAGGGGGCGTTATCGCCCACTTTGGGAAAGACTGGCGTATATCCTTTGTCTGAGTAGTGTAGACATGACTACTTCGACACTACACTACTCATTCAAACAAAGAATATACGCCTTTGTCTGAGTAGTGTAGACATGAATTTACTCGTCACTACACTACTCAGACAAACGATATACGCCTTTGTCTAAGTAGTGTAGTGTCGAAGTAAAGTCATGTCGATATTCAGTAGTGTCGGAGTAACGTTATGTCGAAGTAACGTTTGTCGTAGTATAAATTTCCAGCCGGGAAGCATAAATGAATACGGGCAGTGTCGGACCGGTCGTTATGGAATTCCTAAAGCCGGGACCAGACATGTATCATTTTCCCGATCCGACGGGTAATAACCCGTCCACATAATATGCGATCATGATACGCGTCGACGATACGGATACGGTGATCGGATCGGGCAAATGATACATGTCTGGACCCGGCTTTAGCCAGTTGTGGACGTCGTTTTGGTTGAAACGAAACGAAACCATTATTTCAGCCTAAAGTCCACTGCTGGAGCAACGCAACGCATGTTAAGTAAAGGCGACAATAGCCCGGACGGTTAGTGTAGTGTAGTGTAAGGCCCGGTTTTTTGATTCGTAGTTAAAATAACCAATGGTCAAATTTGACAGATGTCAAATGACAAGTGGTTAAATATTAGAAAAAAATGTTTTTCGAACAATGGTTAGCTTGACTTTTAATACATTTTGTAAACTATTAGTTAACATTTTGTTAATATTTAACCATTAGTAGCAAAATTTAACAATTTGTTATTTTAACTACGAATCAAAAAACCGGGCCTTAGTGTTGATCACCGCGTCGTGCGCTGGACTATTGTGACTCACACTGTCCCACATCCTAGATTCTAATAAAAAAAATATACCAATTGAGATTAACCTACGGGAACTGAGAAAATTAAAGTGCTTTTATTGTTTCAGCTCAACCCATTCAAATAATATCTTCCAATCCCAGTAATGTTGTACATACGCAAGTAATAGCTACGGTAAGTTCTACACAACTATCTTCTCTCGTATGGCTTTGATAAGTAGTGTCTTAAGGTTCAGCCAAACCAACGCGATCACACGCGATCAGCCGACGTGCAGCGATGGTGATCAGACTTAAATGCATTGATCGCCATCGCTGTGATCGCGTTGGTTTGGCATGTTTTGGCATTCTCTGAACCTTTATGTCGGACTTCTTGGCGGGAATCTGAAGCGTCATGTTAGCGGTTTTGTTTTATTTCCTCAAATTCGTGTTTGGGCGACTATTAATGTGTAATAATGGTGGATTATTAACCATTAAGTGTTCGTGAACGTGAATGAGTGTGGACAAGTGAAGCAGAGCAGTGCATCGTGATTCTTCTGGTTCTCTCAAGTTGTCCATAGGAGGTCTCAGTGAAGCACCACAACTTTACTGAGACTCAAAGGGTGGGAAGGGGTATCATCTATCATCCTTCATTATATCATTACTTGATCTCATTTTGTAACTCGTATCACATAAATACTTGAAAATGGCACAAATCAAGTCGACCTCGACATGTATTGCCAACATCATCAAAAAAGAAGAAGAACCTTTATCTCATGAGTGGTCATTGATTTTGATTGTTTTTCCAGAATCACCACGTAGCCGCACCCCGGCCAAAGATTCACTTTTGCGTCGACTGCGGTAAAGGTTTCGCGGCTAAACACGGCTTATTAGCGCATCAGAGGAGGTAAGTTATTTCCTAGACCTTTTTAATGTCATAAAAATTTTAAAATTGACTAATTATTTTCCCATGTCTCCACTTTTAAAGTTATTACCTTTCGATTCTCTGATAGATATGGCGGGGCTTCTTGAGATTATCACATTTAGACTAGTCTATTATTGTTCTGCCGAACCATCTCGTTCCGGAATGTGTCTCTAAAGCACAAAATACACTGAGGCAGTTATGAATCCGAAACGCTCTCTGTCCTTGATTTTTTCGAGTTTTCCTCAATCTTATGCGTCTCTCAGGCCCGCTACCGGGCCGCTTACTGCCTCAGTGTTTTTTGTGCTTTAATAAGATTCCAAGCTTTGTCATTTCCATGGAAGTAGTTCGCTAAGTGACGTGTCACCATCATCATCATCTCAGCCATAGGACGTCCACTGCTGAACATAGGCCTCCCCCAATGCTTTCCATGTTGCCCGGTTGGTAGTGGCCTGCGTCCAGCGCCTTCCTGCTAGCTTTATGATGTCGNATCATCATCATCTCAGCCATAGGACGTCCACTGCTGAACATAGGCCTCCCCCAATGCTTTCCATGTTGCCCGGTTGGTAGTGGCCTGCGTCCAGCGCCTTCCTGCTAGCTTTATGATGTCGGTTCACTTTGTGGGTGGACGTTCCACGCTGCGTGATAAGATAAGTGACGTGTAAAGTCTGTTCGCCGAGAGTTGATAAAAAAAA